GCTGAACCGAATGCACCCCCGAAAATGGCCCATTCGGATCCTTCAGGCTGCTGCGGACCGAATCAGATGCTCTGATCTGAATTGGCTTCCTGCAGTTCGGCCCCATTATATCCTATGGGCCATTGAAGTCAATGGTGAAAACATAGGGTATATTCTGGGGGCTGGAGGAGAGGGGGTTTGAGGGAGAGGCTCCAAAATCGCAGGGCAGCTGCTGGAGCCTCTCCCCAAGATACCCACCATGTTTCAGGAACATTGAACGAGGGGGTCCAATTCTACGAGCCCCCAAACAGGTTGCCCCCATCCCCTCCATTGTTCTCTATGGTGGGAAAAAAATTCTTTTTTCCGTGATGACATCACACGCGAGAGGTGGAATCTGCCCCTACGAGTCCAAGGCCACCACCCCGGGGCTCAGGGAGGCAAGGGAACATTTCGCCCCGCCCCTCCCCCCACGCAGGCGTCGCAGCTGCTGCTGAGAACAGCAGCAGCAGCCATAACTTTTAAAAGAGCCCCTCCCAAGAGTTGGGGGAGCCAGAATGACCTCTCGCATGTGATGTCTGAACAGTCTTGCCATAAAGAGGTGGAATTTGCCCCTACACACGAGAGGTGGAATTTGCCCCTAGGAGTCCAAGGCCACCACCCCAGGGCTCAGGGAGGCAAGGAAACCTTTCGCCCCGCCCCTCCCCCTACGCGGGCAGTGCTGCTGCCCTCGAGAACAGCTGCGGCGGTCATAACTTTTTAAAGAGCCCCTCCCGAGAGCTGGGGGAGCCAGAATGACCTCTGCATGTGATGTCCAAGCAGCAACGCCGTTCGGACATCACATGCGAGAGGTGGAATTTGCTCCTACGAGTCCAAGGCCACCACCCCAGGGCTCAGGGAGGCAAGGGAGCGTTTCACCCTGTCCCTCCCCCCACACAGGCGGCCATAACTTTTTAAAGAGCCCCTCCTGAGAGCTGGGGGAGCCAGAATGACCTCTGCTTTTGACATCACGCTGCTGGGACATCACAGGCAAGAGGTGGAATTTGCCCCTACGAGTCCAAGTCCACCACCATGGGGCTCAGGGAGGTGGGGGAATGTTTCGCCCCCCCCCCCCCAAGCTTCATGGTAGCGATAAAGTTTGGTGGTTTCATTAAACCTTGTGGGTGCTCTGTCTCTAATCCTTTAGCCAGCGTGTAAATGATGTGTTGTAATTACGTCGACCTTAAACATCCCATAGGCTTTTTCCTTCCCCTTTCAGATGATGTTAAAGAAACCAGAATATTGTAGGAACAGACTATATGGGACGGCATCTGCCACTCTCTTCGTCCCACGTGCATCCCCCCCCCTCTTTTAATGTCCGGGTCTGGGCAGACACTCAGCAGACTTCCCCAGCTCGGACATGTTAACGAGGCTGGCTGGGTTTGTGTTAATCCCACGCACTCCTTCCCAACGAGCTTGCAGTTGCCGTGGCTTCAGGGTCGTGTCCTTTCCAGCCCCTTACGGAAACAAACCACCAAGGCGGGGCCGGGAGGGAGTCGCGCTGCTTCCCTTCCCCCTCCGGGGACGGTCGTGACTCCTAAGCGTCTTCGGCTCACCTCCGCCCTCGTCCATCCCTACCCATCCGCCGGGCTCGGAGCCCTTCGCCCCTCTCCCGTCTCGCTTGCCTGTGGCAGAAGCCGCCGTCCTGCCGGCTCACCTGGGCCTCCCCAGTCCTGCGCCGGAGGAGGAGAGAAGGAAGGGCTCGGTGGAGCGCGGGCGTGGGAGTTGAATCACAGCCAGTGACTCAACCCTCTCGCCAGCCCCTGTCTGCCCGCTCGCGGTGGACTTTCCTGGGGGCTGGCGCTTATAAAACCGACGCATCCCCGTTTCCTTCACAGAGTTCCCTCGACAAGGCTTTACACTTTTGTCTACCTGAGCACCCCCAGCACCAGCTTTCCGCCCTCTCTACTACCTCCTTTCCAGCACTAGGTGGGATGGCGGCGGCGGCGGCAGCCTCCGGTAGCCCAGCGCTGCTCCTGTGCGCCCTGCTTTTCCAGCTACGACCCAGCTCAGGTGAGTGTGGCCGGCGCGAGCTACCTGCCTTTGGAACGAGCTACCTGCGCCGCCTCATTAGTTTGCCTTGGAAGAACTGCGCTCTGGAGGCGAAATGAAATGCTAGTGTTCAAGGTTCCCGCTTACATTGGATGGGGCAGTATTTCCCGCGCGGTCTGCCCCCTGGCCAAAATGGGACGACGAGGCTTTTCCACCTAGGATTTACTCCAGCCGAATTTGAAGTGCTTTCCTTTCCTTTCCAGTACATCACCCTGTGTAGGCTGTAAGGTTTTTTTCCTGCAAAGAGAGTATTCTGAACACACTTATTCGGAAATAAGACCCAGATTTTCCTCTGAGGAGAGACGCGTTCTGCTTACTTTCTACGAAGGCGCCTCTTTCCAAATAGGGCTGTGTGGGTTTGTGTGCATGAACGCCGGAACTACCATAAAAAGAAACTATTGCAAATACAAGAGTGTGTCAGAGAGCGAGGCGGCTCTCGCAGTATCAACGCCTTCCAGCTAGAATTCATTCAGGACCATAATGATGGCTTAGGGTACAAGAACTAAACTTCTAAAGAATCCACATTTAAGGGACTACTCTGCACATAAATACGTTTGCAGCATACAGCCTGGAACGCACTTGGGAAAGGGGCTGGCTGGCTGGCCATGACTTCTTGGTGTTATGTATGCGGATGTGTCTCAAAACTTGGTTAGTTTTTCCCCTAATTAGTTTATTTCCTGAAGTACCCAGAACATGGATTCTTTGGAGGTTTTTGTGGCTCATGGGATCATCTTTATGTAGCCCTGAACTTGATTTGCTTGGATATCTTAAGTGTTCTGGTCTGTAAAAAACACACCCAACACCATTTATTTGGCCAGAACAAGCACTGAAATGAATTCCTTGAAAGCCCTGTGACCCATGGCTACATTTCCATTTATTAATTTGAAATGTGCATTTGACTGGTTAGAATGTCTTGATGGTGGGCATTCTGACCTGTTCTTCTCTGAAGTTATTTATTGCCTATAATAAGGATCAGAATATACATTACCATGAAATGCCATGGTTATTGTACTATTACATTTATGATGAGTTGATTGGTTTGGACTTCTCAGAAGTGGATATCTGGGGGGGGGGGTTAAATTTGTTAAATGGGTTTTGGTCTTGAACAGTTAACAAAACGTTAACAGTACAAGAGTCTCCTGTTATGAGAGTTCTCATGTGTCTGCCGCATTCCACTGGTTTGGAACTGTTATAATTACCTGATACCCATTCTGTTCCTGTAACCATTCCATCTGCTCTCTAAAGCTAACTTGGTGCATTGTGATTTCAGTTGGTCCTAATGAAAGTGTTAGGATACTGGGTTTTGCCTTTTTGTGATAAAATTTTATTATATTTTTCATCCCAGGGCAACTGTTAGGTTGTTAGGTAGGGCTACGTGTACCTTAAAAATCCAATTATAATGCTTAAGCCACTTTTTATCCCTTAAGACTTCCTCCTTAGTTTTTCTAGCATTTTTCCTATGCCTTTATTTTAGTTTATGATAAGCGTTGGCAAATGTATTCTAAAACAAATGATTAAAATTATATTTTAAGCAGTGTATCCTACATGTAAACCGGTATTATAAGAAATTAAGTCAGAATGTCACCTGCTTTGTTGAGGATATTGTGTGTAACTAACAATGTAAGTTTTTTTTAAATAAAGTTATGGCTAGGATGGAATATAGTTTTGTTATAAGAAATTCTCATAATATACATTTTTTCTGAAATAGTATCTATGAATTAACATTGAGAGAAAGATTGAAAGGAGGATTACAATTAACTGATACCTTTAAAAAGAATGTATATACTTTTCCGTATATAATTACTTAAAAAAAAACAACCTTCTTAGATCAAGACTGATGAAATGACTGTATATACACAGTGAAATAAATGCAGTTGCAGATTTAAGCGCTTCATAATTAGCTAATTTTTTCCCCCCACCACCACATAGCAATTGAAATTTGGCTGCTATTAAAGAATGAGCAAAATCTCACTCATTGTTTCCACTTGTTGCCTTGGGAAGCCAATTATTAGTTGCTTTGGTTGTGGTAGGATAAAAGGTTTAAGACCTGACTTGAAGGAAATGACACATGATTCCCAGAACAAGGCAATGTTGCATACCTGTGTTTGTGAAGAGAATACAAATGCAATGCATGAAAAAGAAATCCAACTTGAATTGGAGCAGAAGAAAGCAAGTGCTCTATGAATATTCAGTGTTCAGAAAGGATTTGCCATGACAGTGGCTATGAGAGCAATTGGGTACATTTCTCTCAAACATAATCTTGTGGATATATTTGGGGTGTATCTGCACTTAAAAACACAAACTCACTAAAACAATCATTACATTTTCTTTAGCAATCTGAGAACTGTAGTCTTGTGTGAGGGATCTCTAACAGAATTTCTCAGTACTAGGCTACAATTTCAAAGGTTCTTTGGGAGAAGCCTTGAAAATTAAATGGACATGAAACTGATATGTCTGTTATTCAGGTGCACCTTGTCATTTGTGGTACACTCAAAATATTGTAATACGTAGGAATAGCTGTGTATCACTGGACTAAAACTGGTTCTTTCAATTCTGTGTTTAAAGGCAACTCCAGCATACAGACAGCAGTTAATATTACTTGGTCATCCATCAATTTTAAGACGATACTAGAATGGGAGCCCAAGCCAGCCAATTATGTTTACACTGTTGAAATAGCTGGGTAAGTTGCATTTGGGGATGTATGTTTTCTGTTTTTTCTTTTCTTCACTGACTTAAAATCTTATTTAATGGTTGAAAAACAAATAGCACAACCCTAAGTAGAGCTATAATCTTCTAAGGCTGAGAATGATGTTCTGTTTAGGATTGCACTGTAAAAGAATGTAGGAAATAAAAATGCCACCACAAGTTTCATTAGGACTGACTTCTATATGAGTAGCAGTTTGATGGACAGCTTTGGAGTAAATTTTATTGAAATGTTCAGATGATAATGTTGGGATTTTAGGTTAATTTGAATTGGACTGAACTGTTAATGTCAAGGCAAAACAAACAAACAAACCAAAAATCTCACTCAAATGCAAAATGTGTGGAGAAGTTATTTGATTTGAGCTGTTCCTTTGTGCTTCAGAAAGAAATTGTCTAGAAAGAGCTATCCTCTCTATGTAAAAAAATCTTTCTGATTTCCATGACCTGTCCACCTGTCTTCAATTTCAATTCAAATAGGATTTGACCCTAAATTAAGTGATGTTATACCTTGCATGAGGATGCAAATCCACAATTTCACGATACATTGGCTTTGTACTGGTGCATATCTTCTTTATTTGAGCATATTAGGCTGCTCGCCCCCTCCCATCCACACACAAGGGACACACAGTAGCTTATGAAAAGGGGAGGGGGGGAGATTCCAAATTACAAAACAGACAAATGAATCTGGGCTGGTCCAGGTATGGCGAGCTACGGTCCCAATCTGTGAGCCCTGGGCTGAAAGTCAATGGTGGGGTAGGGAGTGGCTTGTGCCTGTGGCCCCACCCACATTAAATACCTGCAAAAAGAAGAGGGAGGAAACCCCCAGACTAGATGGTTCTCAGCTGCTGCAGTGAGGTCTCAGTCAGCTTCCTCCTTGAACAGGAATGCCTACATCCGGACCATCTGATATGCACTGTAATACATATGAAATTGCCGCTAAAGTGACGTTGACTTTGGACTCTATAGAGGTTTCAAGAGTCCTGCTTTTATAATGCCTCCAGGCCACAGTCGAACTAGGCAGGTGATGAAGCCCGACAGACCTAAAATACTATTTTTACTTTTGTTTTTAAAAAGGTAGAAGCTAAATGACTTACTACCAGATATATGTAAGGAATGTCCACCACCTGTTTATAGGGTTTATTTTTGATCTTATCCAGAATATGATGTATGATTAGATATTACAGTTCATCAAGCATTGCCACTATGCATTGTCTGTTTACTTTGCTGAAACATTGCTCAGTGAAATGGAAGGAGGTTACACGTGATAAGTATTTGGTAAATTGCACCTTTTATATTTAATAGGATTATTCTTTGCGCTGGTTAGTTGCTAGTTTCATATCTGGAGTTCTTCCTAGACTTATTCTGTCCTAGAACAGACCATAATCTTGGTAACATATTGGAGAAGATGGGGAGAGAAGGAACTTGAAATATTTTTCATTATTCAGCAATTATAAAAAGGTGGGCAACCCCCAAAGCCTACTGATGCGAAGTTATTGAAAATGTTATAAATTCACAGCCAGACATCATTGCAGATCTTTGTTAATGGCACCTTACAAATGATGATCTGATTTATGATGATACAAAAGTGGTTTAAATAGAAGCTATGGCAAAAAAATTAGGCACCCACAGTTCACTGAACATGGCTCACACCTGCTTATTTTCTACAAATGTTACAGTTGTTGTCTGAATCACACATTTCCATTTTACAGAGGTCTATCAGATTGGAAGAAAACATGTGTTTATTCTGCACAGACAGAATGTGATGTTACTTACCTGCTAGAAAATGCAAGAGATATATACACTGCCCATATACTGTCTGAAGTGCCACTAAGAGACAATAGTGATTTCGATGACGCTCCATATGCAGTCTCTCCAACATTCATACCATACGTCCAAAGTAAGTTTAAAAAATTATACATTTTGCACAGCATGGAACTCTCTGCATACATTAAGAGACTGTGGAAACAAGCCCAAGCAGGTCTTCTTGGAAGTAAATCCCATGTTAGTCAATGGACCTTTCTCCCAGGAAAATGTCTTTAGTATTATAGCTTGTGTTTGTAACGACCGTGTTCTGCAGTAATTTCAAAGACTGACAAAGAGCGCCCTCTTGAGAACTGTCCATGCACCTGATGTCTACTATGAAGGCACACTGGTTGTGTTTTGCATTTTGAAATTAATTGTTAAGGGACAAACTACAACTTACTTGATAAATCCATAATTAGATTCCCCCAATTTGCTTTTTTAAACATTGAAATGTAACTATGGGGGTACTTGCCATTTGATCAGAAGAAGGTAGCTAAAACTCCTTACTCACACATGTTATTTTCCAGATCTAGTTCCCCACTCATGCCCCTCCAAGGCTGGTCTTTGCATATTTAGTTTGTCCTCAAGACGATCTTGCAGTTTAGAATTTTAATTGATAGATATTCTGAGAAACCTTATCTTGGAGTTTGCGGCTCACCCCCGTAGGACACAATGCAGTTCACTGGATTGGATGCATAATTTTAAAAGTGCATTTATAGGTTTATGTAAAGAGATGGCAAAATGTAATGCAGTCCAGATAGCTTATTTAATCCACAGTGGTTGTAAGGCTGATGGAGTAAATATGATCTCTGGAAACATTCTTCTCAATTGATTGTAAACACTGTATTGAAATAGCAACCCACTACTTTTCTGTGAACAGGTTTGAATAAAAGCATAACCTGGGCTTCCATGAACACTACACATTCACCCACCAGGCTTTATTTTTCCCCCACTGGCTGCTTGCATAGAATCTCCAGACTGAGGGTAGCAGCTAAGGGTGAGCTCACCTGTGCATGCCAACCACTCGTTACTCCAACAGTAAGAGGCAATTTAGATGTCCTACAATGGCCATCACTCCACAAAACAGATTTCGTGTCATCTTATTCCCAATGGATGAAGTTTACACATTTAACTAATAGTTGCTGTTAATGTGATAAATTGTCATATGGTGAGACTGCGTGCATATGTCTGCTTGTGTGCACATACCCAGAGGGAAATATTTACAATTTTTCATGAACCTGTGCATGCTGCATGCTGATTTGTAGTGTAAACATCATACCTATGTTATCTTTCCATTGTGGAGATATCCTTGCATTGCCATAGCCTTGTGCAAATGTTCTTTGAGGTTTTTGGACAGAGAGATTATGACTACAGCAGCAGGTTGAAACACCTGCATAGAGGCCTACATGCATAGGCTACAGTTGCATAATCCATACATATGGGAATCTTGTTTATTTAGGCTTATTTAAGACTTCCTGAGCAACATGGTAGTGGTGATAGTGGAGGATATAGACTGCGATTATGGTAGTTATCCCCCTCCTCAGATCCTGTACCAAGAGAGGAAGAGGAGTAGGTTTTTATACCTCACTTTTCTGTACCTTAAGGAGTCTCAAAGTGGCTTACGATTGCCATTCTGTTCCCCTCCCCACAACAAGCACCTTGTGAGGTAGGTGGGACTAAGAGAGTTCTGAGATAACTGTGACTGGCCCAAGGTCACCCATCAGACTTCATATGGAGGAGTGGGGAATCAAACTCAGTTCTCCATATTAGAGTTCACTGCTCTTAACCACTACACCACGCCAGCTGCAAAAATGCTGTCTGTACAGGTGCCTCATTGTATGTGCTTATAACACTAACAGTACAATCCTAAGGAGAGATACAGTACATTGATTTGAATGGGTTTAGAAGGGGTAACAGTTTAGGATTGTACTGCAAGTCTCATGATCCGACTCTGAGTACTGGCTAAATCCATCCAACTGTACCTTTGATAAAGTAATTTAAATCCCAGTACTGAAAAATTAACATGTCTTGGTAACGCGTTAGGAATTAATTTTGTGCCTTTCTCATATATAATTAAGAAAATGTGTCTCTTCTAGCTCTGATTGGAAGGCCAGCTGTCAAACATTTTGAACAAAAACATGATATTTTGAAAGTGGTGATAGAAGATCCATTAACACCCTACAGGTTTCAAAATTCCAGCTTTAAAAGCATAAGGGATATATTCACAGATGACCTGGAATATACACTATACTACTGGAAAGACAAAAGTACAGGAAGGGTGAGTTTTTAAGATCTTCTTTTGTCTCCTTCTTTAGTAATCTTTCGGGCTTTAAGTTCATTTGTACTGTGAATTTCCACAATTTGTAATAAGTGTTAAAAGCTTGAATTGTTGCAGATGTAACTTCAAGGAAACTTTTTTTGTTGCATACTTGTAGAAAGAAACAAAGACAAGAAGCAATGAGTTTAAAGTCAACGTTGACAAAGGGAAGAATTACTGCTTCTATGTACAGGCTACTATTTTGTCACGAACAGAGAACCGTAAAAGTGAAAAAAGCTTTGACAGATGTACCAAAATAGACAAGGACTCATTGGATGGTATGTACTGGATAATGCAATAAGCTTTGCCATTGGTGCATAAACTTTTTCTGCTTCAAAATCTTATGGTTGAATTTCAGTCCATAACACCTCCTAGTGTAACTGATGTGCAAATTGAACTGTGAGTGCACTAATTTTTTGCCATTTTCCAAGCTGTGAAATTATATATGGGTGCATATAGTCAGGCACCAATTTTCTTTTCCAAAATGATAGTCTTTGACAAACTCTCTCCCCTATTATGAGAATAATCCCTACTTCAGTACTATGAAAATATTTTATTTTACGTTACCTAACAATCCTAAATACATCTTCCGAAATATCACATTCTTAGGAGGGGGCTTTACCATTCTGAGCTGGTTGTTGGGAGAGCGGGCTATAAATTAAATTAATAATAATAATTCAGAATACAAAGTGAGGTATGAATTATTTAGAAACTCACCTTTGTAAAAAGGGGGGAAAACCCCTCTCTGAACATAGATTCATCAGAAAGAATGCTGAATTAGAGTCCTTCTTGCTGATATGCTAATTTTGACAAGCACAATTTGATTTTAACCCCCACTTATTCCTGAAGGGGAACAGTCTTAAATGGCTTGATTGCATAATAGTTCTAGAATGCGTAATCCAGGGGTGGCCAAACTTGCTTAACATAAGAGCCACATGGAATAAACGTCAGAAGTTTGAGAGCCGCAAGACATGAACAAATATTGCAGACACGTGTGTTTTTTTAAATATATATGCAAATTTGCTTTTTATTAACATTAAATGAGACTGCCAAAAATAAACTCAAAGGGAGTAAAAAAGATATTGATAATATATTTATTTGTCCAATGGTATTTAATTGTTTGCTAATGATATTTGTCTATGAGGTAGAAAGAAAGTAAATGGATGGGGGAAGGGAGGATGGAAGGGGAAAAGAGAGAGCGAGGTGGAAAGAAAGCAATTAAATGGGGAGGGGGAGAGGTGGAAAGAAAACAACTTCAATTGTAAATGTCTTCTCCAACCCCCCCATGCCTCCACACCAGCTGGCTTCACTTGGAGAAGGGATTTCAAGGGATGTGTGTGCTTTGAGAATGCATTTAAAGTTGCTTTCTTTCTCTGCTCCCTCCACCTCAGGCTTACCCAGGGAGGGGAACACTGGCTGGAGAAAGGAAGACCAACCAGGGAGGCATGCCTCCCCTTTGCTTCCCCAGCCACCCTTCCAGGAGCCACACAATATGTGTGAAAGAGCCGCATGTGGCTCCCGAGCCACAGTTTGGCCACCCCTGGCGTAATCTGTCTCTAACAGTTTACAATTCAACACATTTACAGCAATGGAGGGGGGGGGAAGTATGTAAAAATGTACATGGTGGTTTTAGAAGATACATCACATTTAACTGAGTGATTCCTTATTCCAGAGGGGATTAAGGACCAATATAGATGTAGCAGGAGGAACAACACCACTTTCTGTTCATGTGCCTACCCCATTCCGGTATAAATTGAAGGTGGAGGGTCTACTGTTTACAGCAAAAGGGTTCCATCAAAGGAAGATGACTTTTCCTCTTCCTCCCTACCTCAGTGTGCTCCATCACTCTTCTCCCCAGCTCTTCACATATTCTGTCAGTGCCAGGCTGGGAGGAAAAGTGGCTGAAGGAACAGAGAGTAGAAAGTAAAACACAAGAGTTCAGCTTGCCATAAAGTCCACTCTTGCATTACTTATATGTGAACAGTGTAGTCCTGTGAATACCCTAGCAAGGCAAGCCTCCTTGCTTTGATAGTTTGGTTCTAAACCTGTGGGGAGAATTATTCAACATGTTTCAGAATTAGAATCCAGATTAATTTTGGAGAAGATGGGGAGAGAAGGCTATCATAGAATAGCCAAGAGCAGTTATATGGGGAAAAACCTGTGACCTCTAAATGTATTTTCATTTCTTTTCTTTCTCTGACAGATTTTGAACCAGAAGGAATTATTGCAATAGGAGCTGCAGCGGTTGGCATCTTCATATTATTTATTATTTCATGTGTGGTTGCTTATAAATGCAAAAAGTTAAAAGCTGCTGCAAAGGAAAAAGAGAATGCTCCACTGAATGCATAAGGCAAAAAAACCCCACAAGACTGTTAATGCTGAATAATGTTGTAAGGACACCTCCTATGTTTGTGGGAGCACTAGTCTTAAATCAAGGAACATTTGCTGTTTCTGTGAAACAGTGTTGGTACATTTGACACTACGTTTTGTTTTGACAACGTCAACAATGAGAACTGATAACATGTTAGCTGACAAATACACTGAAAATACTACTGTTTTTTTCTGCACTTTTGGGAAATGTTTGGGTCAAATGATCTGGGTACACTACTTGGTACGGGTTTTACAACCTCAGAGATGTCTTTCAAGGAATAATGGTGCAAGTCAATATGAAAAATCACCAGTTCTGGTTACCTATAGTCAACTTCTAGGCTAGAAATTCTCTACTTTCAAACTGACTTCTGGAATCTTTTTCAAAATTGGTAACTTGTGTTATTGGCAGCCACCTTGAATTAACAGGTACGAGTCCTATACATATTTATTATGTACCAGGATTTAGCACTTTAAATATGCACTAACTGCTGGACAGAGAGAGATTCCTAACCTCTAAAGGGGCATATGGCTGTATAAATTAGGGTTGCCAGCTCTAGATTGGGAAACACCTAGAAATTTGGGGGCAGAGCCTGAGGAGAGCAGGGTTTGGGGACGGAGGAAGGTAGAATGCTATAGAGTCCACCTTCCAAAGTGGCTATTTTCTCCAGGTGAACTGATCTGTCACCTGGAGATCAGTTGTACTAGCAGATCTCCAGCCATGACCTGGAGATTGGCAACCCTAGAATTGCATCCTTGTGACTGAGGTTTCTTATGTTACTGTAATCAATGTTAATATATTTATGATTTTTACATATAGGTGTATAATTTTATATTATATTTATATATATTGGTAGTAACTTATTTCATATACATTTTGCAGAAATAAAGGTGAAGGAGAATAATAGCTGATTCTTAATTTAAGTTTGTCTTTGTTTGCAATGAATATTTCTATATGTGCCTAAAATGTACTAGGCTATTAAACTCTCACCTATGCCCATGGGCACCATGTACTCACTGATGTGTTTCCTGGGGGCTACTTGCATCTTCCCCAAAGCAAAGTGTCAATCCTGGCTTTCCTCTACTTCATTGGAGTAGGAGTTGCTTTGGAAGAGCCTAGGCGGTGTTGGCCCTTTGAAAGCAGCTGCCTCCATCATAAGCAGATGCTTGGCTTGGAATCTCATAACATTTTTGTGATTGGTTTTACCCCTGCCCTATCCCTGAAGGCAGCCATTTTGTTGTGGCCCTCACCACCTGTCCTCAGCATTCCAAGAGCGTCAACAACCTTGTACTAGGCACTGGCCACCTGAAAACCCAACAAGGACAAGATCCTGACTGCAGGCTTAAGATCTTGAGAAATAAATCAGGAACTGAAGAAGAATGTTGTTTTCTTATTTCACCTTCAGGAACCAGAATAAAGTACACAGCTGTGATTCGCTTAACAGCTGGATCTTTTACCATTCTTTTCCTTTCATTCCTGATTAAGCTTGTTCTGCCTTTCTACTGGGACAGTTTCAGCTGTCAAGGGATTTTAAAAACATGCTGACTAGCTCAGAAGCAATTTGAAGATAACAAAAAAAGTCTCGACCCAGTCTTTGTAAAGGCAACAAACTAAATTCATTGCAATGTTACAGTGGCAAGCTATAAATATTTGACAAGTTATTTCTAGAACCAAATAACACAAAGTGGAATAGCTCTACCTACTACTTTTACAGATTTGCATAAATATTTGCAAGTATCAAGCATATTTACATAAGACTAATAGAATGTCATATTCTTATTGAAAGAAATGGTGTATCAAGAATACACTTTACAGCTGTTGACAACCAACATTCACAGTGGCATGAGACATTCTGGCAGTGAGTAGACTTCACAGGTCTACAACTCCCTGGAATTTGCCTCTATTGATACAGAGGGTATTACAGTATTTTTTCTTAGGCATTATGTATTCTAGCCTTAATAAAGTGGCAGCTAGGACAACACATTCAGGTAATACCCATTATTTCACATGGGGTGTGTGATTATATGTGTATTTAAAAAAGCAAACTTTATCATTGTTCTTCCTAGCAATATTGATAGACCACCACCCTTGTTTAGGGACAGTAGTGGTTCACTAGCACATTTCTAGCACAGCAATCTCTGCTTTAGATTAGACAGCCTGCAGCTAAAAGGCATGTAATGAAAAGAATGTGATTATGGGCTTAACTTGGAACACTGTGCATGGGACCATTTAGGACAAAGAGCTTATGGCATTGCAGAGGTGATGAAAAAAAAAAGTACTAGAGTAGCAGGCTAGTGCATTTCTTTCCCTCTGATATTCCCCTCCCTTGCCTGTCAGATAATGAAATGCTGCCCAATTTGGACACAAGGAACTTGTATTAAAATCTACTAGGCAAAGCAGTTCATAGCAAATCAAATTTGGTAGGAGGCTCAGCCTTCATAGACACCCCCCTCCGTCCAGTGATTTATTTATTGAGCATATTTTTATGCCACACTTCCTCCAAGGAGCTTAGGGCAGTATTCAAAACTTCATTTTTTGTCACAACAACCCTGTGAGGTATGTCAGGCTGAAAGATGGAATAAAGTTTTGCTAGTCTTTTAAGGTCCCACAAGCCTCCTATTTATCCTTTCTTCATGGAGCAGTTGAATTAGCCTCATGGTTGTACCAAAGAATACCTATAAGAAAAGATATATTCATGTAAGGTTTAACCTTTTTGCATATAACCAAAAGGCTTGTGAAACTGCACAGGTGAAGAGGCCAAGCAGGACTCCATTGCTTTCCCCTCCTGCCTCACTGTGGTCCGTGTCCCTCTAGCATGTTTGCTCTTCTTGCTCATTTAGCTCCTCCCTTCCAAAGACATAGTGGTAACTCTCAAGTCTGGGTTCTAAAGCTGTTTTCATTTTTTTACAAAGCAGTGATGGGGTATACCAATAGTTCCCTGTGTGTTGGCTTAAAGAAGGGAATAAGTTGTGATGCACTGAACTCCTGATGTTCCTCCAAATCAGTTTCGGAATTTGAGGGCAATGCATTTCCAATGCTTTATACTCTAGCCTATCCAAGGGAGGGTTCCAGTAAAAGGAAGATCATCCAGTTTTTATACTTGCTAGCTCCTTGGATGAAGGGGTGGGGCATCAGAAATACATTACTTCTCTCTGGAACATTCTTAGCTTGTTTTTTCTCCAAGGGTGTCAGGAAAGTGTACATAGTTCTTTTTGCCAGCCCCCATTCTGTCCTCCCTATGAAAGGATTGTGCCTGACCAACATGCCTGACAGCTCAGAGAAGACACAAAGAAGGAATGCTGGGAAGTAGCTATTATACATATTCTTCTGTGAGTTCCACTTCCTATTGTAAGAAGTTCCACGGGCAGAGCTTACTTTTGGAGACCAGAGCCTGTGTGAAATCAACATTGACAGAAAATGTGACTTCACACTGGTTTTTGGGGTGTGTGGCCCCGCTCACGCTTTTTTTTCTTTCTGTTTTAGCCGTAGATAAATTTCAATATGTCAAATTTCTACAAAATCCATGCCCATGATGTAAGCCTCATGGGCCAAACTTTGTTGATTAGGCATGGAATGATTGACCTGTATACCTCAGTACCAACACTGTTACACTTGGTTCACCTACAAAGAAAGTGTATAATTTCATTAACCATAGCCCTAAATGCAGGGGTCGTTTTGTAGAAAAAGAGCTAGGGGAATTCATTAGCATATGCCACACCCCCTGACATCACCGGAAGTGTGTCATAAGGCCACACACCCCGCCTCCAACGGTCTCAGCCGCCGGCGCCAGCCTTGCAGCTCCACTGCCGAGCCCCATGAGGGGCCCGGCGGTGGACCTGCAAGGCCAGCGGGAGTGCAAGGAAGCCCCGTGAAGGCCCTCTCTGGCCCCAGGCAGGCAGGGGTGGGGAGAGGCAGGGAGGAAGCAACTTACCCTCCCTCTTCTCCTGCCTCCTCCTGGCTGAATGAGGGCCGGAAGCGGGGCGTCCGGAAGCAGGGGGCGGGGCTTTGTCATGTGCCCCCCCATACCTCACCCGGGGGAACTGCGATCCCCCGCGTTCCCCCCGAAATGACCTCTGCCTAAATGAGTTAAATAAAGCTGTCACTAAATAATTATGAGTACATACTAATTTACAGCTAACAGGCTCATCTTGCATTCTCTCAACTACATCACTAACATGAAAATTGGACTAAATATTTTATTTTCATCCCTCTGGAGTACACACTTCTGAAGTCACTCAAACTATAGCACATTCTTACCCCCTCTCCCCCTTAGTGAATGTACAGGGAAGCTTGCCCTCACTCATTTACTGATATGAAATGGGAATTCTACAAGCAACATCTCTGGTGGGAAATGGCCACCTACCTAAACCTTCACCAAATCCAAAGGACTTTTGAACAGCTACAATGCAGAATAAGTAACTAGAAGGAATAGAGGTTAATTATTGGAACTGGAAGACAGGTCAGAGAATAAATAGTGTCTTGGCTGATGCCTTAGATGGAAAGTGCACCGAAGTCTGTTAGGGGGTTGTGGGCAGTGTTCCCTCTAAGCTGAGTGTGAGCTAGCTCACAATGTTTTAGCCTCCGGCTCACACATTTTTGTCTTAGCTCAGGAAGGAGGGCTCCAGAGCAGATTAATTTATGCAGCAGCCAAATTGCTCGCTCACAACTTTAATGCCAGTAGCTCACAAAGTGGAATTTTGCTTAGAAGGAGCATCGGTTGTGGGTATCTAATAGAATTTTAAAAAATGTTTTAAAAAATTATTCTAATCTGGTAATTTTTGGCTTACTTCTGCCATCTGCTAAAGATCCACAGTTCCAGTCTGATAAATTTTTAAAATCCAGGGTATGCTTAAGACTGGCCCTCCCCAGCTGTTTTTAAATCTCCTATTATGGTAAAAAGAGGAAAGGGGACTGTAATTCATAGGTAGCTTTTATGTGCCAATGCAACATGAAGAGCATAATTCAGCAAGGCTCTGCTAGA